TTGCTAAATTGCCCAGACTGGCCTCAAACTTGGGATTTTCCTTTCTCAGTCTCCCTAGTAGCTGGGATTATGAGTGTATATCACCATGCCTGGTTCTTCTCTTTCAGTGGAATACCTGCTACTTCGACACACCTTAAGGTGGCTGGTATAGAGCAGGCAGTGGTGGTAGATGGCCTAGGGACTTCTGCCCAGGATTCAGGGAAGCTGCTGGTGACTAGTGCATCAGTTGGTAGGTGGTAGGTCAGGTAGTCTGTCACTGCCTCTGCCCAGTTCAGGTCAGTTTCCCTGGGCTGGATTATTGGGATGGAAGGTTAGAGAATGAGGGGCTCTGAGCTAGTGACCAGGAAGGCCACTATTCCTCACCACTTATGGTCCTGTTGGCTTCCACCCTCCTCCAGACCCCTCCTCCAGGCCCTGCCTCCCTTCTCCTGACCCCACCCCATCCTCCAGACCACATCCTCCACAGGCTCTGCCCCTGGATCTGCCCCTGCTCCCACCCCTACTCCAGGCTGTGTTTCTTCTGACCCCTGCCCCATCCAGACCCTGGCCCTCTTCCAGACTCTGCCCTGTTTCCAGGCCCCACCCTTCTCCACATCCACTCTCGCAGCCACAGCTCCGTGCACTAATTGATAGTACATTTGCAGTGGGGCACAAAATAGCCTATTGTATAAATATTTACATTCTACATTGGATTAAATATCTTGACTATATCAAGCTTTGATGGATCATAAATTGAATTTAGGAAAGTCACCTCTTCTGTCTAGATCATAAAAATTTGAAATAAAATCAGAATTTGTTAAAGGTCTGGTAAGGCTCAGCTGTAAGCCCCGATGACCCAAAGCTCTTTACCAGTAGGAGATCTCTAAGCACCAGTCCAAACTTTTCTATGCTAATTGATTGATTGAGTTTTCTTATTTTGATTGTTTTGCAATGTCTGTATTTACTAGGAAATGCCCTGTGTCTTCCAGGTTTCCAGTTATGTGCAGTAGATTTCTTGTATTCAATTTTTAATTTCTTCTCTTTTTAGTTTTCTACAGAATCCTTAATACTGTGAACTTCTGCTGTTTTCCATCAGCAATATATTTTTTAATATTTATTTTTTAGGTGTAGGTGGACACAATGCCTTTATTTTATTTACTTATTTTTATGTGGTGCTGAGGATCAAACCCAAGGCATTGCCCATACTAGGTGAGCACTCTACTGCTGAGCTACAATCCTAGCCCTGTCCATCAGCAATATTTTAAAAATATATTTTTAGCTTTCTTGGTTTTTCATTAAGAGAATTGTCTTGTTTGAAAATTCTCATGACAATCTTAACTGATTTTAATTATTTTCTGCTTATTAAGATGTCTTTGGGGACTGGGTATACAGCTCAGTGACAGCAATTGCTTAGCAGTTGAAAGGCCCTGGGTTTCTACCCAGCACCACATAACACAAACACACACACACACACACACACACACACACACACACACACACACACACTGCTTTGACAGGACTCAAGCATCAGAGGTATCCAGAGGTATGTTAAAAAACATCATGTATTTACACATATACGCATACACCACAATACCTCTTCCAGATTTAGATGAAATTATTCTAAGAAGAAATTTCAATGTCAACTATTATATTGAATGATACTTAAAACCACTACAAATGAAATTTCCTCTGGACTCTAATCATTACAATATATAAGAGACAAGTCAATAGCTGGTTTTTGTAATTAAGAAATATTTACTAAAAATTAACTTTTTAAAACATTTTCTTTTCTACTTTTCAATTTAGAAAGCATATTTCTATGTCTTATTAAAGTTCTACATTTTTTAAAATTTACTTTAATGTGGTGCTGAGATTCGAACCCAGTACCTCACACATGCTAGGAAAGCACACTACCACTGAGTCACATTCCCAGCCCCTAAAGTTTTACTTTTACAAAAAGTTCGTTCTCTTGTTCATTTCAAGCAAGGGATTGGGTATTCTGATGAGCATGATGCTTTATATATTGCCAGGAATTCTTGTTAGATAACTCTGTTAGTGTTTTATATCAGTTCAAAATATCATTTAAAAATATGCCATTGTGTTTTGAGTTTAAAAATTTGGATTTCTTCTTTTGAGATTATATGTTTATTAATACTTAGAATTATTTCATATGAAGTGCCATAATTACATTTTATCCTAATGTTTGTGCCCCTATGTGCTTACAAGTTGGCTTTCAGAACAGAGTTGAGTTTATCTCATATCTGTTGGATTCATTAGAAAAGTATATATACTTTTTATCATATTTAAAACGTTATATTTGAATTAGTAGAAGCAGAGGTTAGATATGTTAGTATTGTGAGATGAACAAAGTGCAGGTTTACTTTAATTATTTTGGGGAGGTTGATATAATGGCTTCTTCCCTGTTTTACTCCTGCTATGGTTGTCTATGATCATGTCTGGCCTGGAGAATTTTTTTTTTCACACTGGGTGTTGAACTCAGGGCCTTGTATGTGCTTGGCAAGCACTTAGCTACATACATCCCCAGCCCTTTTTAAAATTTAATTTTGAGAAGGGTCTTGCTATATTGCCCAGGTGAGCCTCAAATTTATGATCCTCTTTCCTTAGCCTCCCAAGTAACTGGGATGACAGGCATGTGTCAAAGTGCCTGGCATGTCCTGGAGGATTTTGATACCAGTATTACATGTTTCCAATGTGTTAATAATTTCATAAGCTATATCATGTCCATTTTTCTTCTCAACAGTCAATAAAGCCTTTCTGTTTTTTCAATGGTATGCTTAATATGAACATGCTTTATGATGTGTCCCCACTGTTCATGATAGTCTAGTTATGCAATTCACAGTAAGAGTATTTTGATTCTGATAGTCTCAATGGTGTTTCAGGTCCAACATATTTTCCTGGAAGCAGTGATTATTCATTTCCTATTTGATTATACAAATAAGATACAAATTCTTTTTTTTCTTTTATGGTGCTTGGGATTGAACCCAGGGCCTCCTGAATGTTGGGCAAACACTCTCCCCCTGAGCTGCATTGACAGCTCCATAGATCCTTTAGTTGTGATTGGCTTCATGACTAGCTAGAGTGATAATAAAATTATATAGAAGTTCTACTGAATTTGAAACATTCAAGAGTCTGGAAATCTAATAATTCTTTGTGATTTCTAAAGAGTAGAGTGTTTTTTCATAATGCAGCAGCATCTCAGATCAGGCATGGTTGGAGCGGCCACCTATGCTCTTTGTCTCACCATTTCCTTCAGAATGTCATGGAGGAAATGAACCTTTGTGTCTTTTTAAACTCTTCTGCTCAAAAGGCAGATTGGTTTCCAGTCTTGTTTATCTTTTTCTTTTCATTTAAGAGTTTGGGCATCTGATAGTTCCTTATGATTTTTAGAAGGTAGAATGTTTTCCCATTACACAGAAGCATGTAAAGTCACTCTTGGCTGACTGCCACCTGCACTTCTCTGGGCTCACCACTTATTGCAGAGCATCATGAAGATGGACACTGGTGTCCTTTTAAACTCTAATACCCAGAAGGTGTCACTCATCATCATTGCCAGTGCTGTTACCTTTTTCTTTTCTTCGACTATTTGTTCAGGGAAAATATTTTATTTTATTACTGCTAACGTGTATGCATAGAAACAAAATAAAGACAAGGATTCTTTGGGATAACTAATCCAAAGTCGAAGTGAGTCAATTTGCCATTGGAACATGTATTTTTACAAAGCAGCTCTTATTTATTTATTTATTTATTTTGGATTATTTTAATTTTTATTTATTTTTTTTAGTCATCCATGACAGTAGAATGCATTTTGATATATAATACATACATGGAATGTACATACATCAATCATATTGTCTATTCTATTCTGCTGCCCTTCCTATCCTCCCTACTCCTCCCCTCCTCTCCCATCTTTTCTCTCTATCCAATCTAATGTGACACACTTTTTTTTCTTTTTCTCATTACAATATCATATATATATTCTGTATAACAATGAGGTTCTCCTTTCATCTTCTGTGCAACTCCCCTCTCCCTCTTTTTCCATCCCACCTCTCTTCCCTATTTAGTGGTAGTCTTCTTCTCATGGTCTTCCTCCCTATCCCATTTTGAATCACCCCCCTTATATCAGAGAAGACATTTGGCATTTGTTTTTTAGGGATTGGCTAACTTCACTTAGCATAATCTGCTCTAATGCCATCCATTTGCCTGCAAATGCCATGATTTTATTATTTTTTAGTGCTGAGTAATATTCCATTGTGTATAAATGCCACATTTTTAAAATCCATTCATCTATTGAAGGGCATCTAGCTTGGTTCCACATTATAGCTATTGTGAATTGTGCTCAAAGCAGCTCTTCTGATAAAATTCAGCCATGAGTTGAAATAGAATCTCATTTTTTCCTCTAGTCTAAAGTGATCAAGTTTTTAGAAGTACCTAGTGACAAGTTTACATGTGTTGTTACTTCAACACAGAACATAACAGAGGCACTTGTCTTGAATTAAATATTAGCTTGAGTTATTTAATTTTTGTGTTATAGTAAATTTTGTGTTCATAATAAAATACAGAACTAGCTAATAGTGTCATTTACCAGTAATTAACTATACAAATAATTCAAAAACAGGTGTTTCTGAAAATGTAGCCATGTTTGTTTATTTAATTTTTAGTTTTAGGTGGACACAATATCTTTATTTTACATTTATGTGGTGCTGAGGATTGAACCCAATGCCTTGTGCATACTAGGTGAGCTCTCTATGCCTTGTGCATACTAGGTGAGCCACAACCCTAGCCTGAAAATGAAGCTATAGTTAAAGTTTTATTTGAGTATCTTTATACAAAAATTTCAAAGAAAGCCTCAATCTGTTTTTTCCCTTGTGATGACTTATGTGCACTATCTCAGATATATTAACATCTTAGACCATTTGTCATGAAGAATAAATACTAGTATGCTATAATTAACTGAAGTTGTATTTCCTTTGGATTCTCAGTTCTGCCTCTTCCTGTTTCAGGGCCCCATCCAGGACCCCAAATGATATCCAGTCAACATGTCTCTGTAGACTCCTCTTGGGGTGACAGTTTCTCTGAACTTCCTTGTTCCAGTGACCTCGGCACCATGAGGAGGACCTGTCAGACTGAGTGAGAGTACAGAGCAGAGACAGCCCAGCACAGGGCAGTTTCCCACTGGGTGATGCTAAAGCCCTGTGAGCACCTAGTGCAGGGAGATCCTGCTCTCAGGGGGACCAGAGCAGCCATCTGACCACCTCACCATGCAGCTCTTGCATGTGTAATAGTTGGTTTAAAGTTAGAAGCTGTGTTACTGACCAAGACCTGTGATCACGACTGTTGTCCTGATGTAAGCAAATGGTCAGGTATTTTTTAGATTGTTCTAATTTGGGGTTTACTTGTTTTCCCTCACATTTAGACTTGCGCCATGTGTCTGGGGGAAGCAGTCACAGAGGTAGTGAGTTGCTCTGTCATCTCAAGCCCTCAAGGTGAATGTTATTTTAGTACTAAGGATGCTCAGCTGGCTGGAGGAGTGCCTTTCATGTTTCCTTGTTTTTCTCATATTTAGCCTAGGGCTGGGAATCTGGGGGAAGCAGGTCACAGAGGTGGACAATGCTCTGTCATTTCAGACCGTCAAGGTGAATATCATGTTAGTACTAACCGTGCTCACCTGGCTTAGGTAGTACCTTTCAAGTTTCTCTCTGAGGAGTTACTATTCTCTGCATGTTCACATTGTGTTTTCTGGAGGAAGTCATTTTACAGAGCCAACACTTAAGGAACAGGGAGTTACCTTCACCTCCTCAGTGGCCTTGTCTGCATAGTTATTTGGTATGCATCTACACAAGAGGTTTCTGCACAAGAGAATTGCATATTGTAAATAATTTATCTCAGTCTATAGCTTTTCTTTTTGTTCTCTTTCACAGAGTATAAAATTTATTTTTTTCATGTTGCAGCAGTCTGGCTGGGCACAAAATAACCGAGCTGCCACGAGGAACTTGTAGGTTCAAACAGGAACTACTTTATTGCCGGAACCCCACCAGAACACTCCCCAACTCCTCAGAAAACCTACGAGAACCAACGGGAACTCCACGGGAACTCTGTGAGAACTCAACGGGAACTCAACGGGAACTCCGCAAGAACTCAAAAGTAGCAGGCACTCGTGGTAGCAGGAGCTGCCAGACTGCTGGACAGCAGAAGTTAATATATACAACTGAATATGCTGGCGTTACTTCTAAACCACTCCTTCTGGCAAAATGCCTAGGCGCCATCCCGACCTGGTTGTGGCTCTCAACATCTCCTGCCTTCTGTTTAATTAAACAAGTATGTAGCTTAGTGACGGTGCCTGTCTTAGCTTGTCCAATACTACATATGGTCCTTACCCGTCATTGGATGAGCTGACCTCAAGGTGTCAGTCTCCTGTCTTAGGTTGGTACCATTGCAATTGGATCTTACCCATCATTGACTACCAGCCCAGCATTTTTATAACACTTATGGATACAAACACCATAAACAATCTGCTACAAGCAGAAAAAGCCATCAGGGGAAAAGTTACAACAGGAGGCTACTACTAATAGCTTTCTATCACCAGAGGGCACAAGTGTCCAACCAACAGCACCACCTCCATATGCTGGGAGGCCCCCAACCCCCGTAGTTGATAGATGGGATTTTGAGACAGGACCTCAAATATTAGCATGCCCTGTATTTGAGCAGGCAGGAGGGAAGCCAATTCACCAAGCTCTAGATGTCAAAACAGTGAAGCAGCTAAAAGAGGCTGTAACAACCTATGGTCCTCGAGCACCCTTCACTGTAAGCATGGTCGAATCCATTACCAACTTGAATATGGCACCAGCAGATTGGACTAGTATGTGTAAAGCTGTGCTAAATGAAGGACAATACCTGTTATGGAAGGTTGCCAATGAGGATTTTGCAAGGAGAAGGCTAGGCAAAATGCAACCGCCAGTTATCCTCAGAGAAATCTAGATATGTTGATAGGAAAGGGACCTTATGAGGATCAGCAGCAACAAATTGGATATGATCCTGCCATATACTTACAAATTGCTGTAGATACGGTTAAAGCATGGAAGACTTTCCAAGGACATGGAGGTTTACAAGGTCAATTCTCTAAGGTAATACAAGGAGCTAATGAACCTTATGCTGAATTTGTAGATAGGCTTATTCAAACAGCTACCAGAGTTTTTGGGAATACGGAACAAGCAATGCAATTACTAAAACAATTGGCTTATGAGCAAACAAATCGTTGGTGCAGAGAAGTTATTAGACAATGGAAACATGAAGATTTAAACACATATATTAAATTTTGTAAAGACATTAATGAACAAGGGCAAGTCTTGGCAGCTCCAGTACAACAGGCTTTAGATGCCAGGCCAAAAACATGCTACAATTGTGAACAAACAGGACATTTTAAAAGGAATTGCCCCATAGGAGGATAGTTTAACAAAACTAGGTATCAAAGGAGTAGAATAACGGGTATTTGCCCATGATGCCATAGAGGGAGACATTGGGCTAATGAATGCCATTCTCAAAGCACCATAGAGAGTACTCCGTTATCAAAAAATGAACAAGGACCAGGTGTCTATCCACAATATCACGGAGAAAGGCATTGGGCTCCATTGCCAAAAAAAGGAAAAGGGGGGCCCAATGCTCTGGGGCCCATGGTCACAAATATACGGGGCACTGGAGAAACCCAGTAACACCATCAGGGTAGTGTCCAGGACACATTACCCATTAGATCCCTCACTAGACAAACCAGAGGGAGCGCAAGATTGGACATCTGTGCCTCTGCCAGATCAGTACTAACTCCAGAGATGGGAGTTCAAATAATTCCCACAGGGGTAAAAGGGCCTCTTCCCAAAGGAACAGTAGGCTTATTATTGGGATGCAGTTCTTCTACTCTACAAACACTTATAATAAGTCCTGGGGTAATTGATCCCAATTATGAGGGTGAAATAAAAATTATAGCCAGTTCTCCAAGTGGTATATCAGTAATTTCACCAGGAGATAGAATAGCACAGTTATTAATAATATCTAGCCTACATGATAAATTTTCCAGTCATACTGTAGAAAGCGGTTCCAGGGGATTAGGCTCCACAGGTGTAGACTGGGCTATGCTTTCTTTAAATTTAGATTCTGGCCCCATGCTAAAACTAAATATTCAAGGACATGAATTTAATGGGCTACTGGATACAGGTGCAGACCTTAGCATCATCTCTCGTTAAGAATGGCCAAAACATTGACCATTACAACAAGCCACTCAACCACTTTGAGGCCTAGGAGTGGCAACTAATCCCCATACAAGTGCGGTGGTATTAGATCGGAAGGATCCTGAAGGATGTGAAGGAACTATACAGCCATATGTATTGGATCATCTTCCTGTAAATTTAGGGGGATGAGATGTCCTAGATCAATTAGGACTAACATTAACAAATAACATCAATTCAAATGCGTCCACTATTATGGCTAGACAAGGTTTTAGGAAAGGAAAAAGATTAA